TTACAGAACAAATCATGTAAAAATAATCAGTGCAGCCATCTGCAATAAATAAACAGTTAGTGGTGACTGGGGTGTTTTCTTCTGCTTGTAGAGTTGTTTTATTTATTATTATGTGAACATGATCAACATGTGTTGTTGTTCAGGCAGGCCACAGGCTGCAGCGAGCATTTAACAAATCCTAGTTTGAATCAGTAAAAAACCATTCAAGGATTTTTTTGAACCATTTGAATATTCGTTTCAATATTTCAGCCCTATTAGCTCTGTTAGCAACTAGCTGACCGAATTTAACCGTTAAAATCCCAGTTAACTGGTTCAAAAATGGAAAACATGCATCATGAGAGCTACATACCTTTATCTTTCTCCTCTTTTTTCTTGCACGCGCGCACACACACACACACAGATGCACGCGCGCGCACACGCACGCACACACACACACACACACACACACACACACACACACAGATGCACGCGCGCACACACACACACACAGATGCACGCGCGCACACACACACACACTCTCACACAGATGCGCACACCCACACACACACAGATGCACGCGCACACACACACACACACACTCTCACACAGATGCGCACACGCACACACACACACACACACACACACACACACACACACACACACACACACTCTCACACAGATGCACACACATACACACACACACAGATGCACGCACACACACGCACATACACACACACAGAGAAGCACGCACACACACGCACATACACACACACACACACACACACACACACACACACACACACACACACACACACACACACAGATGTGCACGCACGCACACACACACACACACACACACACACAGATGTGCGCGCGCACACACACACACACACACAGATGTGCGCATACACACACACACACAGATGTGCGCACACACACACACACACACACTTTAGATCTGAAAGCTAAACTAACGTGAATCTGATGAGACGAGTGATAATCTGATAATCTGACAGATTACGGAGACTCAGTCCCTCTGGCTCTGCTGATCATGTGCATGTTAAGGCTGAACTAAACGATCACAGATTGATTTCAGTCAGAACGAACGGTTTCAGGTGTGTGAGGAGAAACCCAGATCGTCCTGAAACCGAACCGATGGGGTTGTTCAAACCGGCTCCACTGACCTTTGACCTGGGCGCGGTGGCGTACAGGGAGGGGGACTTTTTCACCGAGACTCCGTTTTCAGCTTCTCCATCATCTGCAGCTCTGAGAGGAACAACATGAGAATGTTTAGATCAGTTAACACGTTTCAGTCAGCTCCTCCTCCTCCTCCTCCTCCTCCTCCTCCTCCTCCTCCTCCTCCTCCTCCTCCTCCTCCTCCTCCTCCTCCTCCTCCTCCTCCTCCTCCTCCTCCTCGTGATGATGAACACAAACATTAAAGACACAATCAGAGGAGCTTTGATCCACCAGAACAGCTGAAACGGGTCACCCAAAAGTTCTGACCCGTTTCCTTTGCTTGGCTGGATCAAACAGGAAACTACACAAGGGTTAGGGATGTGAACATGGACGCACGTGCGCACCACGGCGTCCCGTCTGGAGGTGGCGACAGGTGTGCAGACTGCTTTCACCGTAGCAGATGTCCCAGATAAGAGGATGAGTCACAGCTCTGATGTTTACGCAGCAACACAGGAAGCGCCAGACTTTCCCTCGGGCCACTTTCACTGAAACGACCTCTCAGCGACGGCGTGACCCATGGAGGTGAAACGGGAGGAGAGTCGGCTGACTCGGACACATACAGGAGACTGGACTCCCACACTTCCTGTCGGAGTTTCATAAATGTTCCTGCTGCAGGTCAGAGTCCTGCTCTCTCCTGAACGTTCCATCCTGCTGCAGCAACGTTCTTCCTCAGTTATAAAACAAGTCATTTCAGAAGCGGGAAAATTATTTTAAGTTCCTCAAAATCTGAAAATTGAGTGAAGTCAGAAAGTTGTGCGATGGGGAGAAGGAGAGTTATCTAGGTCGTTTCATCTGTGAGCAAACACTAAACCAGGATCCACCCAACCCAGCCTCACAGAGGAAGCACAACAGGCAACACAAAAAGGTGTCCGTGTGCCTCACAGCCTCACCCTCACAGCTTCAGCCCCACAGCCTCACCCTCACAGCTTCAGCCCCACAGCCTCACCCTCACAGCTTCACCCTCACAGCTTCAGCCCCACAGCTTCAGCCTCACAGCTTCACCCTCACAGCTTCAGCCCCACAGCCTCACCCTCACAGCTTCACCCTCACAGCTTCACCCTCACAGCTTCAGCCCCACAGCCTCACCCTCACAGCTTCACCCTCACAGCTTCAGCCCCACAGCTTCAGCCCCACAGCTTCAGCCTCACAGCTTCAGCCTCACAGCTTCAGCCCCACAGCTTCAGCCCCACAGCTTCAGCCCCACAGCTTCACCCTCACAGCTTCAGCCCCACAGCCTCACCCTCACAGCTTCAGCCCCACAGCCTCACCCTCACAGCTTCACCCTCACAGCTTCAGCCCCACAGCTTCAGCCCCACAGCTTCAGCCTCACAGCTTCAGCCTCACAGCTTCAGCCCCACAGCTTCAGCCCCACAGCTTCAGCCCCACAGCTTCACCCTCACAGCTTCAGCCCCACAGCCTCACCCTCACAGCTTCAGCCCCACAGCCTCACCCTCACAGCTTCACCCTCACAGCTTCAGCCCCACAGCCTCACCCTCACAGCTTCACCCTCACAGCCTCACCCTCACAGCTTCAGCCCCACAGCTTCAGCCCCACAGCTTCAGCTTCACAGCTTCAGCTTCACAGCTTCAGCCCCACAGCCTCACCCTCACAGCTTCACCCTCACAGCTTCAGCCCCACAGCTTCAGCTTCACAGCTTCAGCTTCACAGCTTCAGCCTCACAGCTTCAGCCTCACAGCTTCAGCCTCACAGCTTCAGCCTCACAGCCTCACCCTCACAGCCTCACCCTCACAGCTTCAGCCCCACAGCTTCAGCCTCACAGCTTCAGCCTCACAGCTTCAGCCTCACAGCTTCAGCCCCACAGCTTCAGCCCCACAGCTTCAGCCCCACAGCTTCAGCCCCACAGCTTCAGCCTCACAGCCTCACCCTCACAGCTTCAGCCCCACAGCCTCACCCTCACAGCTTCACCCTCGCAGCTTCAGCCCCACAGCTTCAGCTTCACAGCTTCAGCTTCACAGCTTCAGCCTCACAGCTTCAGCCCCACAGCCTCACCCTCACAGCTTCAGCCCCACAGCCTCACCGTCACAGCTTCAGCCCCACAGCTTCAGCCCCACAGCTTCAGCCCCACAGCTTCAGCTTCACAGCTTCATATAAGCAGCTCATCCATTACTTCAAAAACAATCTGAAACGTTCTAATTGTTTAAAGTTTTTAAATAAAGAGTCAGATGTAAGCGTTGTCCACTCGAGTTCTCGTTTCTGACTCTTGTTTCAGGCTGAAGCACAAAGGTCACATTGGAGTGACGGAGTGAGGGAGGATGTTTCAGATCCGCTTCCTGCCGTTTCTGCAGCTGCAGCAAACATCTGCTTAAGCGTGATGGTGGTCCCCAGGAAGCCTCCAGGGAAAACCGACTGTTCCACCTTACCTCCTGGATCAGCAACCATCCGACCTCAGATCTGGTTTGCAGCTGCAGGAGGAAGTGGTTCAGAGGTCAGAGGTGAGAATCAGACAGCTGTCAGACGAAGTCCAAAGACAAAGAGATGTTTGTTTTAGAGCCGAGGAGCAGATGAATGCAGCAGGCATGTGGAGAGGCAGGTTCCTTCACAGAGCTCCGTAACCATCCCGAGGACAGAGTCAGGGTGTGGTCCACGGATCAGCTTCCTGCTGAACAGAACCGCACCACAAACACGACCTGAATCCCACATCTGATAACACAACAGAGTCCAGGTCTGACCCGATTCAGGTCTGGTTCCTGCCAGGATCAGATCCAAACCCAGAGGATCAGAGATCTCTGCCGTTTCTTCCACTTCAGTCCAAACGGATGGAACTCGTCAGAAAACCTGAAACATCTGAAGCACGTGGCCCTCACCTTCATCTGGTTCTTCTCATCCCCTCCATCTGTTCTGACCCACTTATCAGAGTCCGGGTCGCGTGGACCGCAGCTCCAGAAGAGCGGCGCGGACGGCAACCTTCAGCAGCTCCACTGATGGGATGTCATGGACCTGTGTTAGTGTAGCACCTTCTTCAGGTTCTACACCCCCCCCCCCCCCAACACATCCACACCCTGGTGGTGATGGGCTACAGCTGACGGAGGCGCCGCGGTCCCTCCGGCCACCAGCGGCAGCGTTCCCTGTCCAGTGTGGAGATTTAATCCCTCCAACGTGTTCGGCGCCGACCCGCAGGTCTCCTGAGCCGGACGAGCCAGAGGCTCCGCCCCCGACAGCCGTCCAGGAGGAATTCTCACCAAAGGCCTGAACCTTCTCAGCTGGCTTCTCTGGATGAGGAGGAGCAGCAGCTCTACTCCAAGCTCCTTCCCCAGGACTGATCCCGGCCACCGGTCTTTTCCCAAAGTTCTGGACCGTCAGCCACATGGAGTACGACTCCGGAACCAGGAAGTGGCGGTCCCTCCACCACGTCTGTGTCACCTGTAATGTTTGCGGTGTTTTGGGGTCTGCTTTTGCCAATTAGCTAACCCTATCAAAATAAAAGCTCTGCCTGATGAAACTTAAATGCTTTTATTCTCTTAAGAGCAGAAAAAAGTGCTGAGATGAGTTTTTATCAGAAGTGGGCCGAATAGAACATTTAACACGTCTAACCCTAGCTGGACACAAGCAGCGCTTGTTGCCATGACGACACAGTACGCTTCTGTTCCAAACGCCGTCCTCGTCCTCCCGTACCCGGCAGCATACTAGTCTAGTACACACGAAGGTACCAACCCCGAGTAGAGACACGCAGCCCAGGTCTCAGCTGGACCAGGAAGACCTGGAGACTCGAACAGACCCACAGAGATGGATCTGGTGGACCATCATCGACCAGCAGGTTCCTCTGGATCCTGACGGGTCTCCAGACACCTGCATCGACTCGAGAGAACCAGAACCTGACTCTCATGGTGGAGAGACCCGTTGAGGTGACCCGATGGGTTCCAGTCGGCAGCTGCTGACCTGTATGGATTACCCGAGTCCAGGTGGAGGTGGTCCTGCTGATACCGAGTCAGAAGTAAAAAGTTCCTCGTGGAATGAGAGCAGCTCTGTGCTGAGTTTAAGGGTCCAGAGGAAGTAGGAATTCTGAGTTTCAGGTCCACCAGCTGGTTCTGGTGCAAACATCAGACCTGGACACGTGTCCTCCATGATGGACCAGAACTCTGGCACATCTGGACCCGGATCAGGGTTTGTGTTTCTGTTGCACCGAGTTAAACGGGTCGGAGTTAGAGGAGCAGAAGCATCACTCTTGGGCCATTCCCATCAGTACCGGGTCGGCCCGGGCCGGGTAGCCCCAGCCTGGCCCGGTTGATTCCACACATCCTTGTCTTAAGCCCATGTGGGCTGGTTCTAGCCACCAATCAGAGGCTTGCTCTAATGGAAGGTGTGGAGTTGCTGTCAGCAGTGGGTGTGTTGGCCCTGGTCGGCCTGAAGCAGACCCCCTCCAGAAGAGGGCTGAGAATGAGCCTTGGTTGGCCCGGAACAATACCAGGCCACCCAGATATGTAAACAACCTACGCTACCCGGCCCGGGCCGACCCGGTACAGGTGGGAATGGGGCTTCTGACCCGGTCTCACCCATCGGGTCGGTTCTGGTTATCTCAGAACCTCTCTGGTTACAGCCCAGCAGCTAAAGCTCTGCCTCATTATCTCACAACCCGATAAGACCTGCTATGGACCAGAACCAGAACCAGGACCAGAACAAAAACCAGCCTGGAGCAGAACCAGGACCAGGACAAGAACCAGCCTGCAGCAGAACCAGAACCAGAACCAGCCTGGAGCAGAACCAGAACCAGGAGCAGAACCAGAACCAGGACCAGAACCAGCCTGGAGCAGAACCAGAACCAGGACCAGCCTGGAGCAGAACCAGGACAAGAACCAGCCTGGAGCAGAACCAGGACCAGGACAAGAACCAGCCAGCACCAGAACCAGAACCAGAACCAGCCTGAGACAGACCCGGTCTCCTCCACAGACTCCTGACTCACCTGAGGTCCAGGTGGCTCCCATCAGCGGACCTCTCACCGGAAGTGGTCTTCTTGGACTTTTTCTTTATCTTTGGGAACTTGAACTTCTTCCTGTCCGTGTCCCTCTGGTCCTCCTCCTGCTGCTCAGATCGGTTCGGGTTCGGGTCCGGTTCGCTCCTGGAGAACAGAGTATTCAGACTCTTTCTGGATGCGCTCTTCTTGGCCATCCCGTGTGGTACCGGTACCAGCTGTTGTTCAGCTGAGACCAACAGCTGCTGCTGCTCACCTTTGTGTGCAGCGCGCGCAGCTCAGGTGAGACGGTGTCCTCGTTAAGACACGCCCACCTCGCAGCCACACACCAGACCGTGGACCGGGCTCTGTCGGTGCTGGACGGAACCGCTTTAGAAGTTTTTGATGCTTTTTATTAAACTTGCGTCACAAACAGCTGATTCAAGAGGAAACAGACCGGAAGTAGATGTCGGTTCTGGTGCTGGACCCGTGACCTCTGACCTCTGCAGACAGCCGGAGGTCAGGTCAGACATGAAAACCATAAAGATGTTAAACGTCTGAACAGAAAGTTTAACTTTTAAAACTATTAGTTTAGTTTCATTCATTATTTTTATCCAACTTTATTTTGAAACTAAGAAAATCTGCAGTTTTGTTTTTATGCTGCATCCGGTTAAAACCAGCTGCTCTCCTGTGGGGAGACAGCGCCCTCTGGTGGCCGGTGCGCGGTTGCAGCTGTAATAACTGATTTCTGCTCATGTGAGGATGACCCACGGAACCAAACAGGATCCAGCCTTCTGCTCCTCTTCAGGTTCCTAGTATAAATGTTGTCAGCAGTGGGGTCAAAGGTCATCTGCTGCCGTGAGGTTTCTTTCTGTTACCGTTTATAATCGTTTGAGGCTAATCTGGGAGTGATGGAGGAGTCCACTGAATCAGGAATCACACTGATGACCGGATTTTAAAAACCCTCGGGTTAAAGCCACGCTTTGACATTCACAGGGTTAATGAAAAAGTCACTCTGACCCCAGCCGCCCTGTGTGGCCAGAATACCGCACTTGCAACTTCAGAGTTGCCAGTCTGTTGGACGGAGTTGAGCTGACACGCCTGGCGCTGCAGCCTGCATGTTTGAGGTCATGAAAACAGCTGATTTGTTTGACTGTGAGGAACTGCTCCTGCAGACACTGAGGAAGGCTGGGAGGTGTTTCAGCTGTTAGATTAAGGTGATAAAAAGATGAACGCACAGCGAGGAGAGTTTCACGTGTGGTTGTTCTAACAGACACTAGGGGGTGCTAAAATAAGCCTTAACTGCTCAGTAGGCCTGTAAGAATCACCTGGCAGCAGGAAGTCGATGTCACAGCAAGTCCAATCAGAGCTTTCAGAGTTTTAACACATTTAGGTGACTTTTAGTGTCCCGGATGAAGCACTAGAAACACCAACAGCTGTTACCGAAACCTCAGGCACAGATCTGGGATCAGCCGTTTCACCTGCATGAACCCTTCTCCTCCTCCAGGGGGCGGGCTAGAGCCATTCACCTCCCTGCCTCCTGCACCAAACACACAAACTGTCCTGTTCCTTTCCAGATGTAGAAGTGTTTTGAACGTTAAATCAATCAGCATTCAAACAGCATTTCTGCTAGAAATGCACGTTCTCTAGTTATTTTCTCTTTATTTTGTTTTAATGTTAACTGAAATAAAATGATTTGATTATGAGATGAGACGACTGATGGAACGAGACATAAAGCCATCATTAATGTTCCTGTGAAAACTCTATTGATGCTGTTTCTACCGTCAAACTAACTATCGTAATAAAATCCTACATGATCTCCTGCTAGGAAGTCGTTTCCTAGCAGGACGCTGTTGCTCCCAGGCAAACACGGTGACATCACAAACCTCATCTCATCATAAAATTCTGCTTCAGTCACTCAAAACCCAGAAGAAGCCACCAGGAGCTGATGAAACCCGTGGCTCTAACTGATCAAACGTGGGTTGTTTGCAGTAACAAACCCTCTGAGGCTGGGCTGAATGGAACCAACCACCTAACAGTGAGGGTCCTGAGAGGGTTCCTGCAGACCAGGTGATCTGCTGAGACCCTCTGGCTGCAGGTGGAGCTACCTCACTGAGGATCTCATGAAGTCTGATGTTGACCTGCAGGCTCCTGTCAGCCTGCTGAACTTTGGACCCAAGGAGCTGCAGCATTACACCGGGTCCCAGCAATAAAACAACCCCCACAGGTGACCAGAAACAACTCTGAGCGCCACGCCCACTGAACAGGTGAGAGGGGACCAACAAAACCTTTAAGTGGACCCAACAGAAAGTGTGACAGCAGAGCTGCGACCATCAAAGTTTTGTTGTTGTGAGTCAGAGTGAAAGAGAACACACACTCACTCACTCACTCACTCACTCACACACACACTCACTCACTCACTCACTCACTCACTCACTCACTCACACACACTCATTCACATACTACCATACATATACACACCTGTTACATACATACTTGTAAGTGTAAGTTTGGTGATGGAGTTTTATTATGAATGAATGATGAATTATTATGTCTTTTTATGTATTTTTATGTATTTTTATGTATTTTTATGTATTTTCATGCCCAGGGACAATAGCTGGAAATTAGCCTTTGGTTATAATCTGGCATGTTTACATTCATGTAATCTGCTTTTACATTTATGTTCATTAGCATGCGCTGTCCTAAATAAATAAATACTTATACACACCTGTTACTTATACACACCTGTTACTTATACACACCTGTTACTTATACACACCTGTTACTTATACACACCTGTTACTTATACACACCTGTTACTTATACACACCTGTTACTTATACACACCTGTTACTTATACACACCTGTTACTTACTTACATACCGTAAATCCTCTAATACAGGCCGGTATTCAATTAACTGCCAGGTCTCATATTTTGGCCGGTGTCGGAGTCGGCGGAGGTGAATAATGGCCGGTCTCTTATTGTGGCCGGGTGGAATGTGGTAACAAGCAAGTACGGGGGGGGGGGGGGGGGGGGGGGTGTGTCATCGTCTCACTTTTGATTTGCCAGTGATAGACCGCGAGGGTAACTTGAACCGTCTAACTTGTTAATAGAATCTTGAACACTCATCATAAAACTAAAGAGTAGAACATCCCGTTCCTTCACCCTTTCAGTCAGAGAGCTGCGGGGTCCGACAAGGCTCCAGGGTCCTAACCCTAACCCCACATGGCCTTAGGGTCCTAACCCTAACCCCACATGGCCCTAGGGTCCTAACCCTAACCCCACATGGCCCTAGGGTCCTAACCCTAACCCCCCATGGCCCTAGGGTCCTAACCCTAACCCCCCATGGCCCTAGGGTCCTAACCCTAACCCCCCATGGCCCTAGGGTCCTAACCCTAACCCCCCATGGCCCTAGGGTCCTAACCCTAACCCCACATGGCCTTAGGGTCCTAACCCTAACCCCCCATGGCCCTAGGGTCCTAACCCTAACCCCACGTGGCCTTAGGGTCCTAACCCTAACCCCACGTGGCCTTAGGGTCCTAACCCTAACCCCACATGGCCCTAGGGTCCTAACCCTAACCCCCCATGGCCCTAGGGTCCTAACCCTAACCCCCCATGGCCCTAGGGTCCTAACCCTAACCCCCCATGGCCCTAGGGTCCTAACCCTAACCCCACATGGCCTTAGGGTCCAGGGTTCAGACCGCAGGACTAGAACAAAACCAGGATTTGTGAGAAAGAGCGGTTTAGAAACACCAAACACCATCGTATAGAAACAATATCTTTAATCAGCTACATGGTGTGAATATATAAAAGTATCATCAAAATAGTCTCTCACTCATAAACATCTCATATGCTGTTTAAAAATAAACTACAACCTGTACAAAAGTTGGGCTTCTAAAAGAATCTAAGCACACTTAGAGGAAGTCCTGCTGCTGCCGGGTAAAACACCTGTCAGTCCACACCTGCATGACATCAACAGTTACGTAGAAATAAAACGTTTCCAGAGCTTTCTGGTCACTTCTCTGTGCTGTAAGATTTGGATGAAGCTCGTGTTCACAGACATTTGCAGTAAAGCTTTGAGGGTAAATAACATCCCGACGTGTCGTGTTGGTGGTGTTCAGTGTCACCACAAACGTTAGTGATTCAGATGTTGGCGTGGGTAATGACGCTCAGGCTTGCGCGGTGGCGCGACTGTCGTTTTGGCAAAGGCTCGTTGTTCCATCGGACTGGGAAAAGGAACCTGAGCTGGAAGCTGGTGACTCATGCTAACGACCTCTTCCTGAGTCCTCGTCCAAGATTCCCGTCATCTCAACACGGAGAGGAGAAACACCGGCACTTCAACTACCCGACGACAAAATAAATAAGGAATCCATTTAACGTAATAAGTTAAAGCACAACGCACACGCGTCTCTACCTGAGTGAAAAGTTTAAACACTTCACAGCTTGTGGCTCCGGGCCCGGTTCTGGCACTCAGAGCCGGGCCCCGTCTTTGGAAAGCTTTTCTTTTGGTGCTGCTTTGATCCGATCAGGAAACGTTCCTACTCATTCCTCCCATCGTGAAAACGAGGAACTATTTTTGGCAACACCAGCGCTTTTTGGTGCTGTTGGATCGTCTTCATGACCATCCTGAACATTGTCCTCACTGCCCTTCTGTCTTCACTGTTGGCCGTTTGTTGAGATGCACGACGCTGGCTCTCTCCTGAGAGGTCCGCGGAGGGCTGGCGTGGTACTCAGCTGCTGTAGTTTGGACCACAGGTGTTACTGGTGCGTTGATGGCCACTGTCAGAGCTCTGAGCAGCACCTTGGCCTCCTTCTGGTCCTCCTTCCCCTCACCTTCCAGAGTACGGGCCAGCCAGCGCTTGACAGCCTCTGCCAGCTGAGAGGCCGATGCTGTTTCTGTGAGCGTGTCTGCCTCCTGGCTGGCATCGAAGCGTTCCAGCATCTCCTTCATGTGCATGTTGACCGTGGCGCTGGAGCCAGCCAGGCAGCAGCTGCGCTGGTGGATGCAGAGGGAGAAGCGGTGGAAGAAGGCCTGGGTGCAGAGCGAGCAGCGGTAGGGCCGGTCCCGGCTGCTGTGGAGGCGGCGGTGCAGCTTCAGGTGGATGTACTGGGTGAACTTGGTGTTGCACAGCTTGCACTGATATGGTTTTTCTCCGGAGTGCAGTCTCAGGTGTGTTTTCAGGTTGCTGGTGCTGCTGAAGCGTTTGTGACACACCTGGTGAACACAGAATGAAAGGTTGAGACACTTGAGTCGCGCTCACAGCACTTCCTGCTGAAGCGTCAGCTTGCTTTGGGGGAACCTGCTGCTTGTTTCTGACATCCTCTTTACGTTACTCTGAGCATCGGGATCTAAACCAGAACCGCTCGCCCGCAGAGATGCTGTCAGATGACCTGATGGGGCGGGTTGTGGCGGAGTGAAAATCAAACCTACACTGTTACCTGGAAGGTGTGTGTGTGTGTGTGTGTGTGTGTGTGTGTGTGTGTGTGTGTGTGTGTGTGTGTGTGTGTGTGTGTGTGTGTGTGTGTGTGTGTGATGGGGGGGTTCACACAGCTCAGGAGAAGTGGGAGAGGTGATTCTCAGCATACCTGGCATTCATGGGGCTTCTCTCCGGTGTGGACCAGGTGATGTTTCTGGAGGTGAGCCAGCTGAGTGAAGCTTTTCTTGCACAGGTGACACTGGAACGGTCTCTCACCACTGTGCACTCTGAGGTGGACCTGTGGTGATCAGAACAGAGTTCATGAGTTCTGGTTGGGAGCAGCTGAAATCTCTGGAGTCGGCATTTGTTACCTTGAGGTTTGAAAGCTGTCCGAAGGTCTTGGAGCAGATGTTACATTCATATTTGATTTTCCCGTTCTGCTTCTTCAGGGGGTAGGGCAGGGATCTGTGTCCGGGGCCGTTACGGGGCGCTGCGCTGCTCTTGTTGGTGGCCAGGCTGAGGTTCATGGCCTCCTCGCAGCCAGAAGGGGACTGATCTGGGGTCTGATGAAGGCTGTCAGGCTTGGCAGGAGGAGACAGCTCGGGGGTGGCTGGGGCACCTCTTGGTGGGGAGACGTTTGGCGTTAGCTCTTTCAGGCCTCCTTGTGGAGATGAAGCATAAGGGAGGGACACTGGGAGCAGGTTAGGTGGGCCGATGGGAGGGTACGGAAGTCTGTCGGTGCCCAAGTAGCTGCTGTACCGAAGGGACTCCCTTGAAGACAGGATTCCAGTGAAGGGAGGAGAGTAGGGGGGCAGGAGGAGGCGAGGATAATGAGGACTGTAGGGAGGAAGGTACTGGTAGGGGGGGTGGAGAGGCCGGGACTGTGGGTAAAGGGGGTAGGAGGAGACCAGGCCCTCCCTGTGGCTGTAGAGGCCATGGAGGTGAAGGGGGAGGTTCCTGT